TGGACCTGGAGGAGGAGGGATCCCAGAGCGGTTTGTGAAGTGTGAAAGGTCAGGTCATCAGAGGAAAGTTGCTGTGATGACTGGGACCTTGGAGAAAGGAATATGAAAAGGCAATATAAGAAGACTTGAGGGATGATGTCAGCCAGATGGCAGAATAGAGGGTGCCAGCTGTCATCCTCACAGAAGCATGATCTGACAACCACCCACAGACAAGTGCATTTTTGTGTGAGTTCTGTGTACACAAGTTTCCAGCACCCAGTGGAGTGGAAATGCTGGAAAGGGATGCATTGGAGAGCGTGACCGAGTGGCTGTATCTTACCTGCATCAGTTGTGCCCCAAAGTGCACAGCCAGAAACTGAAAACCCCAGCCCTGTGATTCCTCCCACAGAGGAAAGCCAGAGCGAAGGGAGTACCCAGTTCCTCCCTCTGGCAAGCCACTTCCCCAGAGGCCAACTTCTGCCTTTCCACACCCAGACACAGAGAGGACCAGTGTGATGGTTTGGAGATGCATGTGTTGAAGGTTGGTCCCCAGCTGGTGGTGTTATTTTGGAAGGCGGAGGACACGTAAGGAGGTGGGGTCTACTAGGAATGGGCCTTTGAAGGTCATCTCTGTCCCCAGCTCCTGCGTCTCTGTTTCCTGAGGTGAGCAGCTCCTCCCCGCCATGATGTCCTGCCTCCACACAGGCCTACAGCACTGGAGCCAAGTGACCATGAACTGGAGCCTCTGAAACTGCGAGCCAAAATCCATCTTTCCTTCTTTTAAATTGTTCCTCTTAGGTATTTGTCACAGCAACACAAAACTGACTCACACAGCAGAATGGCAGAATCGTCTGGGAACAGACAGAAGGGAATGCTGGGAAACCAGCACGATGCTCTCCATATGGAGCCAAAATCCTGTTTACCAGCTCACAGATATCACCAAACGACTTCCCCAAGGCCCTTGCAGGACGGTTCACCAAAGGACCTCCAACCAAATAGCCGTATAAAATGGACAAAGTCCTCAAATAGACATTTTTTACAAAGAAGATTTACAAATGGCCAACAAAAGCAAAGGAATGTGATTGACACCACTAGCCAAGGAAATGCAACTCGAAACTGCGGTTTTGCTGTCCACAGCTTAGGTAACCCATGGGTAATTGCGTTCTGAATGCATCAAATGGAAAATTGCAGGAATAAAATTCCTACATTTTAAATCACACACCATTCCGAGTAGCAGGAGGCACCCTCGGCTTTCTGGTCTACCCCCTGGGACATGAGCCATCCAGGACACCCAGGCTGTATGTGAACAGCTGCCGAGGCCTTGCAGGGCCTGTGATCCAGTCACTGGTGCTTAGCTTTATAACGACTCCATGGACGGGGGCAGCAATGATGGCCGTTGGGAAATGGTGAAGAGGAATTGTAACGCACTTCTCTAGAGTGGACGGGTAAAAATTCCTGACGTCAGGAGCAAAGGGGAATTGGGTGCTGAGATTTCTAAGATCTGTGACAATGAAACAAATCTGTGAAGTGGTGAAGGACAAAGCAACGTGTGCCGGATTGACCGGTGCACCTCAGACTGCGAAAGTGATGGCCCCGGTGCACGGAGGGTGCTTGGCTAAGATGGAAAAGAAATTCGGTGTGCGCCTGTGGGCACGGGGAATGGGGCATACGAGGACCTGGTGCTGTCTGTGGTTTCAGACGCCCACGATGGGTCAAGAACGGAGCCCTTGCAGATGAGGGGGCGTGACGGTCTCAACTCACACGTATTAAAGAGGGAACCCCAGCACACACTTGGTCAGAATATTGACTGGTATCGGTATTATGGGAAACAGCACAGAAATACCACTGATACTAAAACGAACGACCTTCGGGAGGGGCAGGCACTGCCATGGGGAGGATAGCTATTACGCCAGAGTTAGACAAATCTATGGCATAGGTTTGTCCTTTCGACCATCTTATAGGTCAGAAATGTAAAAAAAAACCCTAATAATATACCACAAAGAAATAATTGACCTAATATACATACATACTTACATACATATACACGGAAATGTTTGCTATAGGTTTTTCTACAGTGTTTGAATTTACAGTCATTCAACAAATGCCATGCTGCCAATAAACTGTAAAATTAGGCCTAAGATTATTAAAATAGGAAAAGGGGAAATCATAATACACACTCCCATCTGTGTGCGTGGAGGTGCACACACCCACACGCATGCATGGGCAAAAATGGAAGGCTAGTGAGAATTCTGACATTAGTAGTTATTTTGAGGCTGTGTACTAAAAGGTGACTTTTACTTTCTCCTTATAACTTGCATTCTGAGTTTTCCTACCATGTACCTGTATTACTTTTATAATTAGAAAAATTAAGCAATTTGAACTTTGGTTGGTTTTTTTTTCTTTTTTGTGTATGTATGTGTGGTGTACATGTGTGTAGGAATATGTGTATGTGTGTGCACTGTGCAGGTGTGTATGTTTGTGTATTGTGCCTGTGTGTGCACGTGTGCATGTGAGCACACACGTGTGTGTGCATGTGTGTGTGTGTGTGGCAGTACTGGGACATGAATTCAGGACCTCACACTTGCTTTATGACTTGAGCCACATCCCCACTTCTATTGTTTTTAGTTTGTTTTTTGGATAGGGGCTCCCACTGTTCACCTGGGCTGGCTTTGAACCACGATCTTCCTACCTCCTCCTCCTGAACAGCTGGGATTACAGGTGTGAGCCACCACACCAGCTATTTGAACTTTTAAAGTTGTTTTGATATCTAAAAAGTCATGGATATATTTTACAATGAAAGAAGTTTTGCATGACTTTTTTGAGATAAAGGAGGAGACTGGGTGAGAGTGAACACTGAACTTCTGGCTGTAGAACCATGAGGCCTTTGGGCAGAGCTCACAACACAGCCTCCTCCAAGAGCTGGTTGGAAGCAGGTTGGCAAAGACCCACACCAGGGTCTGCTAGCCTGCTCCATGGCATCGGGTGGAGATGGCACTCTGCAGGATGGCAGAGGCCACAAGTCAGTGAAGGACACCAGGTAACCACACATGGCCATCCCAGCTTCTCCTCAGTAGCTGCTTTACAGTAATCTCATGTAAGTTGCTGGCGTTTCTGAGTTACTCTATTGTCCTCAATTACTGTTTATTTCCCAAACACGTTAGAGTACACGATGGGCCTCAAGAATGGTCTCATTCCCTTTGGTAAGTTTCTGCCATGGCTACAGGATAAAGGCTGACGGGGAATAAGAGGACTCCCGTGTGAATCTGAGTGGACGCCACACACAGAGAGAGGTAGTTGAGGAGCGAGACGACTCGGGCAGTCCTGAGTTAAACCCCAGCTCTGCCATTAGTCTGTGCGACTGTGGAAAAGCCACTTAGCACCCCTGTTCCCTTATCTGAAGAACGTACATCAGGTCTACCTCCAAACGGGTTTGTTCATGCAGATGCTTGAAGAGGCTTGGTACACAGCAAGCACCCAATAAATGTTACCTGTCACCATTATTTTAGCATAGACACTGAACGTGCAACTGCTTCAGATAAGGGGTGTGTATGTGTGAGCGCACACGTGTATGCGTGCATGTGCATATGTGTAGTGTGTGCACGTGTGTGCGTGCTGCCGGCTGCTAGGAAATCATGCCGTGAACTTACTCGCATAAAGTCATGGATTCAGAACACTGGGAAACCTGGTTTAAGTCACCAGGCTTAGGTGACCGGTCTTTCCTTGGGCATTTGTTACAATGCCAGTGAACACAGTACACTTCCAAGTGACGCTGATGGGCTCAAAGTATCACAGTCCAGATTCTCCTTCTGCCGCCTCCTGATTGTCGAATCCGGGGGAAGTCATTCAATGCGTCCCTTCTGCAAAGGGGAGTGACACTGCCCCTTCCTGTAACAGGACTGTCGTGGACCCTGCTCGGCCAGCGCGCGGGACACAAGCACGTCCTGGGCAAGGCTCTGAGGGTCATGTTACTGGACCCTCAACCCAATCCCTGTCGCGGCTGCTACCTGCGCACTCGGCACAGGACGGGCATGGAGCATCACAGGCAAAGCTCATTAACTGAGCGGCTGGAACGGCGCTCCGTGCCCAGTGCCAGGACGCTGGGCCACATTTGCGTGAGTGGAAATGTAACGGCCACTCTCAGGCCCACTGACGCCTGTCTCGAGCAATCACCTGGTCACCCATGCGGGTCCCTGTGGTCACCGCGCCGTGGGAGGAGACTGCAGATGGACGTCTGTGCTTAAAATAAAGTGACCGAGGTGAAAACCCACACTGAGGGAAACGAAGGGCGGAAAGAGCAAACAGGTCCTGTCCAGGGTGGGTTTCAGTGGGGAGGGAGAAGGGGAGGGAGAAGGAGGGCGAATATGGTCGGTGTACTCGGTTTTCTATTCTGTTTGGCAATAGAATAAAATCTGTCGGATTGTCCTAAGAAGTGGGGGAGGGAGAGGAGAGGAGGGAGACCGACGGACAGTCAAATCTCCCTAAGGTGCATGGTAAGCTCATCGGGAAATGTCACAGTGAAACCCCTGCCTGACTAAGACATGCTAACAAAGCTGTAAAAGAAAAAGTCAATTCAGCATCCAAAATCACAGAGGCCTTGCCAACACCGGGTGCCATGTTTATTGGACTATTTACAGGTAAGCTTAAAACACGAGGCAGGGAAAAGGCCAGACGCCACCAGTAACGTCAAGAAACAAAATCTCAGCAGTTCTTCGTGTAGACGCTGCAGGTGCGGCCTGGCGACGCCACACGCTGTCATGGTTGCAGTGGTTTGGTTTATTTTATTTTTTTTTAGCAACAGGAAGCACATATATTTAACCGATGACTTTTTAGGACAATAAAGAAAGAAAACTATTTCCACGTAACTAGGACGAGAAAATCATTTATACAAATTAAATTGCTACAAAATATATTATAAAGAGAACACACGTACAAAAGTCATTAAGTCAGTCAGAGAGCAAGGATGTCACAGAACACCACATGAAGAATTCATTTAGGTACAAAAGTACGTCCAAAGTACACATTTACTGAGGTAAAGGCACGACCACTTCCACATAGGTAATGGGGAAGAACCCAGATTTCCCTCGGATCGTTCCTTCATACCAGTTTTCATCTATCTGATTGGTTAAGGTAATGATGTCCCCTTCTTTAAATCCTAATTCTCCTTGGTTTTCTGGCTCAAAGTCATAGAGGCCACGACAGCAGGGCTGGTCCACGGGGGCGTTAGAACCTGTCCACATGATATGGAGGGAAAAAAGCACAGGTTAACGTGACCATCAGCCAGTGGGAAGGTTTGGAGAAAACGTGAGGCCTGGATTCCCGCTCACAAGGCTGGCTCCCCACCCTGGCTTGCTGGGGCTGTGTTGATGGCCTCTGGCCTCCTTGACTCCCACTGTGTCAGCATCTCCTGGGCCCAGTGTCCACTTCCTCAGTCCTCCCAGCAGAGGACCCAGCCCCTTGAACAGTCACTCAGCTCAGCCTGGAGCCCTGAGGGAGGGGCGGAAGAAGCACCAGGCCCAGGCTGTGCTACAGGGAGCTGACAGTTTCTTTCAGAGACTGCTGGTACATGAGGACATTTAAGGGACGAAGTTGAGGTGCCAGGCCACTGGTGGCCAGAAGCTCTAAGGAGAGAGGAGCAGAGATGCCTAGAGGGTGACAGGCATCTTCCTAGAGCTGGTGACCAAAATGGGACACAGGCAGGAAGGGGAAGGGAGGAGAGGAGCCAGGACAGAAATGAGCAGGATAGTCACAGACCAGCCCAACACCTTCAGGTTCTTATAGCAAGCATAGAGTTCTCAGAAGATCATAAAAAAATGTATTTTTCCAAAACTAAAACATGGTATTTGTAAAAGAGGAGAAAGTGCAGGTAGGCAGGCAAATGTGAGGAGTTATAGCTGTAAAATGATGTGAAGCTTTCCGATTCCAGAAGTCCTGGCAAATATATCTGTGTGCACATTTACATATAATAGTTGTTTTGTTTCTTTTTTTTTTTTTAACGGTACTGGGGTTTGAACTCAGGACCTCGAGATTGCTAGGCAGGGATGCTACCACTTGAGCCACACCCCCCAGCCCTACATAAAGTAGGTTTATTTTGGGTGTGGGGCAGGGGGAACTGGGGTTTGAACCCAGGGCTTCACACTTGCAAAACAGGTGCTCTACCACTTGAGCCACTCCTCCTGTCCATTTTGCTCTGGTTATCTTGGGGATGGGGTCTTGTGAACTATTTGCCCTGGCTGCTACCTTGAACCTCAATCCTCCTGATCTCAGTCTCCCAAGAAGCTAGGATTATAGGCGTGAGCCACCAGCACCCTGCTCATACGGTAGTTTTCATTAAAAATCTTCTATTGTGAATGTTCTCAGACCACTTTTAGCTACTGCTAGAACATCAATGTAACTGAATTTCTTAAACCTACTTAGATATTTGAGGTCCTTCCTTCCTTCCTATCTCTCCTCCTCTTTCTCCTTCATTCTCTCTTGGTTTTCACAGGTAACTCTTTAAAACATAGCACAGACGTGTATGTACATGTACACACAAATACGCACATACTGTCCCAAGGATAAGTTCCTAAAAGGACCTGATGGCCACAGAACATGAATTTTCCAGGATATTGACATTTACTGTCAATTTACCATTCTATCATCATTTGGAAAAATTTAAGAGCCCCCAAGCACTATTAATATTAACCTTTATCTGTCACAGTTGACACAAACATTACTTCTAGCTTGTTTTATTTTCTTTTGCTTTTATAGTTTGGGCAGGGAACAGGACTTCCATTTTGCTTACAGAGAAATTTAAAACAGTATAAGCAGGAAATCTGAATTTTTATTCAGTTTATCCTCTACAGTCATATATGACTCCAGAGCTAAATTTTGCTCCAGTGTTTTCATTCAATTCTTTTCATTTACATCTTTTGATCTGGATTTGAAGAAAGGGAAGGTGATGGTGGACAGCCCTCTTCTCTCCATGTGGGGACTTACAGGCAGGTCAGCCTCTTAAAGTCTGGACAATGACCCCCTCAATTTCTCCAGCATTTGGATGGCTCCTTCCATGACACCCCAACTCAACTCAAGTTTGTAGCTTTCTTCTGTTGTAGCGATGGGCAATGGGACATAGAAGAATTTGAATAGTGGGGCTTAGTTTATTATTTTGAGTGTGAACAGAATAACATTCAATGACTTCAAAGCACTGGGGATTGAGTATTTCCAGCACAGAGCCTTTCATTTTTCTTTGGTCACACAGCGTGTATCTGGGTGGGTGGAGGCTAGACACTGAGAACCCATGGCAACTTGAGTCATGAGTCAAAGTCAGTCTATGCACGCACAGCTGGCTTGATATGGCTTATGAAGTTATTTAACCTTCTTTTAGCATTTCTGCCAGGCGGATGCCTCACTACACGGTAGTCACAAGACATTAATGCTGGGTGGGAGCTATGCAGTCTCCCATGGGCCCTCCCCCCTTTTGAAAAGGAGGTAGCAATGTCCCCAAGAGGTTACAATGGCCTGACCTCTGGGCTAATGGCCAACTGGAATGAGACACCAGATCTCCAAACCCAAGATCATGAGCTACTTTATTCCATGTCACCTCCTACGTAATCTAGAACACCGCAGAGGGCTGCCAAGACGTTTTGTCACACTGACTGTGAGCCTAGCTATATCTACTTCCCCTCCCACTGACCACAAGCCACGTGCAGTGACCAAGTGCATTCTAAATGGCAGACACACATCGGTCCGAACCAACTGCCACTGTGTGCACGCGTGAGAGAAAAGACACATTCCTCACTTCTCACTGCATTCGTTCCAGGTGAGGGACCACTGTCACATATGCTGAGAGTGGGAGACTGAGCAGCAGTCACATCACACTCCATCAGCAAATAAGCCCAAGACACAGCTTCTCTCCCAAAGACCCCACATAGGAGTTCCCTGTCTCAAGTAAGGCAGGTGCACCTACCTGCCCAACACACATACACAGAGTCAGCAGGGCGGACAGGACACTTGGGAAGTTCCCACTGATGGAGCTTAGACGGGCTGGCCTGAACTACACACGCAGCAGAACAAAATTCTGAAACACCCTACATGTTTTCATTCTGGGTCACTGCTGTTGCGAGGGGCCTCAACCCAGTGAGCTGTGGCCTCCTAGCCCATGGTTAGCTTTTAAGTTCCAAAAGAACATAACCTCAGTGTGAGATATGGTAAAAGCCAAGGCTTTCCTGCCAGAGCCAGGTAGGTTTTTACAAGATGAGAGAGAGAGAGCGTTTGAGCAAGTCAACTAATTCTGGGTTCCAAGGAACCATAGTTTGTTGACCTCCGAGCTTATAGATTTTATTACAAGCTGTGGAGGAGCAGCTGCTTCCTGCCACTCAGAAAAGAGATGTCAGCTGTTTCTGGAGCCTGAAGAGAGAGGAGAGTGGGCAAGAAGATGGAGCTACTTCTTGGATTTCACCCAGATATGGTCTTGGGCCCCACTTTCCACTGGGACTCTGGGGGTAGGGGAGGCCGGACCCCAAAGCACTCTGAAATACGGGAGTGCTATCATGAAGCAGAAAAAGGGGGCTTGAGGAAGCACCCCTGGCTCCTCATGAACTGCAAACAGACCACCTCCCCGCAAGTGCCAGCAAAGGTGAGGAAGGGCTGCAGGGCAGCTGGGCCACCTGTGGGCAGCGCGCAGGACTCGGGATGCAGAGACTTGGCTACCCAGAAGCAAAGGCAGGGGCCACAGATGTCAGCAGGACACCCAGGACTCACGTTAGCAAGAAGCAAACCTCGCCTGCCACCATGAAGCCCCACAAACTCCCCCAGGCACCCAGCTTGGGAGAGAACCTCACCATGCCCCGTCTTGATGGGGAATTCCGGCTCTGACCAGCTGTGTCCAGAATCAACTAAGCAGTAAGTGATGGACTGCACTGTCCACTGGAACAGACCGAGCTACCTTGGAATGGAAGATGACGTTTGGTTTGGTTTGGTTTTAGAAGATATGGGGGGAAAAGATGAAGCTGTTTCCACTGTTCTTCTAAAGGAAGGCTTACAAGCAAGTTGAGTTCAGTGGCTGACTTTGTCCTTGACAAGAAAGATGACTCCAAGTGGACAGAAGCCATGTCCAGGCAGAAAAGGCTGAATTTCCTCAGCAGTGACTTTCAAACCCTGCGAGACGCAATCATCTGCCAAGGTGCCCAGGTGCCTGGCCCAGCACCCGAAGCCAGCGCCTCTCCTGAACACGCCTTGCAAGAAAACACTGGCCCTCCCCGGTGTCCCAGCTTTGTTGGCAACCTGCAGGCCTGGGCCACTCCACCTCCTCCTCCACCTCAGCTCTCTGCGCAGAAGTTGTCACCTGGAACTACCGAGAGGAAGTGCACGTGAGCTCCTCACTGCCTGATGTGGTCTGTGTGCTGTAGCCCTGTGCCATCATGCAGCACTGCCCACCCCAGGGGCCTGTGTTTATTCTCCAACGCCCCGAGACCCGGGCTTTATGTAATATGAGAGCACAGGTGGCAAGGTGACAGTCATCCTTGTCAAAGCACTGAAACAAAGATTATTTGAACAGAGAGAATGGAGCGTCTCTGCTAAATATTTATTATTCAATATATATTTCACCCCATTTGGGAAGAAAGAGAGAGAGAAGGAGGGAGGGAGAGAGAAAAGAAGGGGGAGAGAGGCCATCACAAGGGTTTCAAGATGCCTAGCCAGTAGGTAGAGAAGCCATGTTTCTCCCTAAATTAATATGGCATTAATGCAGTTCTGAGTCTAACAAGAAAGGGCCCCCTCTTATTTTAACTGCAGTGCCCTTCCCCCAAACAAGTTCACTTTTTTTTTTTTTTTGCCCAAGTCCCAGCTGCAAAGGGTCACTCACCTGTACCATCAGGTAACAGCCTTCCGGTCACACAATTCCTCAGCCCTGCTCAGCTACGGGATGAAGTGAGACCTCTCGGTTTTATGTTCACATGCCGGGCCATCAGTTCTCAGAGAAAACCTGCGGATCGGTGCCATCACTCTCCCCGATTCCATTCGATTCGAGGGATGGAGAAGCTGAGGCTCCACACCAGCAAGGCAGTGCTGAGGCCTGGCTCAGGGTCTGAGCTCCTGATCCCAGTGTGTACCTCACTGAAAATCCCCAGCGGGGAGTTTATCCCCTCTCATTTCTGCGCCATCCTCGGCCCCAGGGGTGGCCCATGAGCCCAGTTTGGAATGAGTCCCTAGCTGCACGTGACCCCAAAGTTCCCAGGACTGGGAAGGCTT